TTTCGCTTCAAAAGGGAATCAACGTCACTTAGAGCGGAATCGATCTTCATCGTGGCTTGGAATTTAATGATTGTACCATTTTCACACCCGCTTTGCTTCAGCAATAGATTTTTATTTCGGAATTTCGCTGCAGCAGTGGAAATTCACTGACCGTTGGGACTTAGGCAGAGAAAAAGTCTCTGCCCGCTTTGGAACATCACACAGTCTTTGTACCTTCTTGCTTCGCTCTAGAATGGCATTATTGGCTTGAATTTCACTTAAGTTGGACCAAAAAATTAGTAAATTTCATATAAAGGTAATAGGATCATATCAAATAAAACAAAATAATAAAATATATCATAATTCAGATATTGTGACGATTTTTGTACAAATATATAAAAAATAAAAGAGAAGAAAGATAAAAGAAGAAATAAATGGAGACAAGACACCTAATGAAACTTATATTATATGAAATCAATTATACGTTAAAAATATGAAAATCATATCATTATTATTCATTATTTCTATCACATGAGACAATAAGGTGACGATTATCCTCTCCAATCGGAGAATTGGCTATAGAAAAACTAAATGCTTCAAACAGATACCGAACATAGCCATTGATATATGATTCTTAATTGTATTATGTTCTTTGTGTTGTATTTATTTTGCTCGAAGATCATTTATGGATATTTGTAGTGATTAAATATACTTCTTTCTGCATTTGAAATCACAAACAAGAAAACAAATTGTGTACATCACGAAAGCTAAACTTGGATGTTATATTTTATCATCCAAACATGATACATTTACTCAACAATTGATCGATTAAGAAGAAAAGTTAGCCACCCTTGCCCCCACCTCGGTCCGCCCCTGATTCTTTCTCTTGTATTATATTAATTTGTGATCACAGAATTGATGAATATATTTGATTGACTGTGCGATCGATCAATAGGCACTAATACAAATATAATATATAAATTGACAATATATCACAATTATCTATATAGCACATACTATTATTATTTGATTTCAAGTTTTCAACGCATAAACTATATTCATATAGTACCGTATAAATAGAACTGTCATTACATTATATGACGTTAACTAATAATACATAACGTATTGTGTTAATTGAAATATTATATTGTACGTCTATTTATCAGATTCTTAATGTTCATAATCTTCTAAATATATTAAATTAAATACTTATTTTTATTTTTTAAATTAATTTTACATTTAAAATATTACATCAACACTTATTTATATTGCATTATACAACTATTTTATTATATATCTATATATAATTAATGCATACCAAATTGCATGTCAATAGAGTTGTGCCCAATCTTGATTCCAATGCTAGTGTATACATACCTACGTTTTAATTGGACTTCTTTTTTGGGTTTTACTTTGAATTTGGTGCCGGAAATAATAAAATTTTAAATTAAAATAAATTTTAATGTAAATAAAATGATAAATTATGATCTAATAATTTAAATAAAAGAATTATATTTTATAGGGAATAATAAATACTGTTACATCCATGGAAATTAAGTATAACTATAGATTTTGGAGATTTGGATTTTGAGTTGGGATTTGAATAGTAAAAATTTTGAATTTGAATAGTTGTACGATGTGTTATAAATAGGTGTTGATGTGATGTTTTGAATGGAAAATTGATTTTTAGTATAATATAAAAAATGAAAAATAGGTGTTTGATTTGATGTTTTTTGGGACAAAAAAAAAAATGAGATGAATAGTGAAAATCTAATCCAATCCCCCAAACAAACAAACCCTATATAACTAACAATAAACATGCATGTGCATGGACCATAAGTTAACATTAAATTAAGAAAGATTGTAATTTTTTTTTTTTTTTTTTTTTTTTGTTTCTTTTATTATTTTTATATATCTAAAAATTTTCTACATAGTATTTAAATATAGTTAAGAAACTATATTATTATTATTATTATTATTATTATTATTATTATTATATATGGTATTTGTTTTTATGGGACTTTAATAAGATTCTAATATATATATTAGATAAAAAATTAAAAATAAAATAAAATAAACAAACAAACACACAATTTGTTTTGATTGTAAAGAACCAATACTCTGTAGATCAGACATTGTATTTTTAAGATTACAAATTGAATACTTTCTAGATTGTACAAAGTCGATAGTCTTTAGATTGAATACACTTCAGAAGTGTGTTTGTTTGTGAAGTTGAAAGTTAGATTTTGAATTTTGCATAGTAATTATAATTTTAAAATTAAAATAATTATTTGGTGTAATATAAATAGTTGTTAATACGATATTTTGAATATAATTTTTTTTAATAAAAAATAAATATTTGATTTGATATTTTTTAATAATGAATATTAAAAATCTAGTAAAAATTCACTAGCAAACACAATCTATATATATATATATTCTCTAAACCAATAACCAATAGATTAAAAAAATCTAAAAGCTTGTGTTTATTCTTTTTGTATTTCCTACAGGTAAAAATGGTAAACAGGTATTGGGACGGAGAGAGGATTATACATTCTCTATACATTAAATTTATGCTTTTTTTTTTTAAAAAAAAATATATATATATTTTATTTATAACAAAAATATATATTTTTTAAATTTATACATTTCAATAGTACACTTATGTATAAATATGCAGCAACTATTTAAAGGTCACATTTATCTTTTGAGTCATTATATTAATCTTAAAAAAAAATTATATTTCTATAATATTCTTTTTAAATATCCTTCTATTATAATTATAAGATACCAATAAAAGTATTTTGCAAATTTTTTTTAATTTGTATTATGTTTTGATATAATAATTAATATTCAAATATCAACACGAAAAAGTAAATAAAACTTTTAGAGCGAAATAGTATATAAAAAATTTTCCACTTATTAAATTACTCATATACTTCTTAAAATTATTTTATTTTATATTAAAATTAATCAATTAATTATTATATTATATTTATTACAACTTGTATCTCATACATATAAATATGTTTTTATTTTTTTTATTTTTTATTTCTTTTGTTTTTTGGGTGGAGCCCGAAGATAGTAATAAATATATTAATGAAATAAAAATTAATTAAAAGGTTAGAGTATTCTTTCAAGTCAACAACTATTTATTGTGAAAGCTTTGGAATTTATATCTCAAAGAATTATGTCCCGTCCATCCCAAAAGTATAGTCTATTGTGTTAGGTACGAAATTTAAAAAATATTGATATTATATTGGTAGTCGGTAAAAAGTAAAGATGAATGATTTTTTTGCCTTTGTGAGTATATTAATAGTGTAAAAAGTAGTGACAGTTGTGTAATAATAATAAAAAAATAGAGATAATTTTATGATGATATGATTATTTATGGAAATAAAATTATTAATAAATAAAAATGATAAACAAAATTATTGTATTAGGACGAAAAGACTATGAAATAAGCATTCGAATCTGTGACATAAATCCGATTCATAAAGCGTAATTGACACACTATGATCGACTTTAAACTTTTTTGGAAACTTGGGATTGAGTGTACTTTTTTATAATAGCTCATCATAAAGGATATAGTATAAGTTACTTATTTTAATAGAAATTTAAATTAAAATAAATATTTATAAATAACGCTGGACTTGAATGATACTCTCTCAATTTCATGTAATGCGAGTATATTGCTGTAGACACAAGAATTTAGGTAAAGTATAATTAGTAAGTAATTAAGAAGTATATTAGTAAAAATAATTATAGATTAAGATTAAGATAAATAAATAATTTAATTAAAATTAAAAAAATTATAAAATTTAAAATGCGATTAAAGTCCATAATTATATTTTCAAAATAGAAAGGACAAGTTATGTGAGACGGACGAAAATAGAAAATATAGACAAATTATGTGGGATGGAGGGAGTATAAATTATTAAGTACTCCCTTAGTAAGGAGATTCTTTGGAATTTTGTAGTAAATTAATAATAATAATTTTATTAATTAGTAAAAGTGTGTAGGAGGTTTTGATATTTTGGTCATTTACTTTTATATGTAATTTTATATTTGTAATTTAAAATAAAATTAAATGTATTTTGATTTTAATGTATGATTATTTTTTTAAAATAAAAAAAATTACTTTAAAATAAAATATACAAAAATAATAAAAAATATTTTGAATTGATAAGAATAAAATATTATTTTTATTATATTAAAAATATATATATTTAGTAAAAATAAATATAATGCATAATAGACAGAAAAACTAAAATGAAACACACAGAAACTGCCCACAATTTCTCGATGTTGAGAAATCCAAAAATTCCAACTCCCAATAAAAAATAAATAAAATAGAAAAAAATAGAAATACAAACACAACAGAAAAGCTAAAAAGGGACAAAAGGATAATGTTACACATCGAAAGCAAAAGGAGCTGAGGCAGCGAATGGGCATTTATACTTGCACATGATACTATCCCTAAAAATTTAAGTTGTTTAGCCGATTTTTTTCAAATTTTATTATTTGGATTTTGTATTTTTTGAAAAAAAAATATATTTTTTTTTATAAAATATTCCATCAAATATTATTTTTATAACAAATTCAAACCAACTTTTTTTTCCAAACTAATCAAAAGAAACACACCATTTATATATAAATAATATAGTCCGTTAAAAGATGATACAGTAGTAGGGAAACTCGTAATTATAAGGTTATGAGTTTAAATTTTAAATTTTGTCTGTCACACATAATTTAGCTTATTGAATCTAATTTGTAAATTATTAAATTTAATCGAAGATTTATCCATAACGCACCCGAAAAATTGGGACGATAAATTTCACATTATAAAAATATATATATATATATAATATTTATTCAAGACACACACACCTCTGAAATTACCTTTTTGCCGCCCAATTGATTCCCTTATTTCAATTCTTGTCCGGGGGCGGGGCGGGCAGTTTATGGTCCCCTCGAAACCCTAAAAAAGGGTCGTTGGAAATACCCCCCTCCCCCCAACCCCCCCACCCAGGCTCCCGCTGCTATTTATATCGCCACGTTCTTCCCATTCCTTCCGCAGTAGTTAATTTCCTTCCTCCACACTCTTTATCTGCTTTCGTAGAGCCCTAAATCTGAAGGTAATTTTTTCACTGCCCTTCGATCTAACAATGCTGCCTGAACAATTCTTGTCTGAGATTTGCTAATGGTAATAATCTAACTAATTGTGCAGGAAATAAGATAATGGCCGTTTTCGGACCGTTACTGGTTTCGCTTCTTGCCATGGCTTCTTCTTCAGTTGCAAATGGAAATGGCGAAGGATGGACCAACGCACATGCCACCTTCTATGGCGGAAGTGATGCCTCTGGAACGATGGGTACGGACGTCTCTGTCTTAACTGCTAATTTTATTATTATTATTATAATTATTATTATTATTTGGGGATGTTGGCGGGCCGCAGGCGGTGCGTGTGGGTACGGGAATTTATACAGCCAAGGCTACGGTACAAACACCGCAGCGCTGAGTACAGCTCTGTTCAACAACGGCCTCAGCTGCGGCTCTTGCTACGAGATCAAGTGCGCCGGCGACCGGCGGTGGTGCCTTCCGGCGACCGTTGTGGTCACCGCCACCAATTTCTGCCCGCCGAACAACGCCCTGCCCAACGACGCCGGCGGGTGGTGCAACCCTCCTCTCCAACACTTCGATCTCTCCCAGCCTGTTTTCCAACACATTGCCCAGTACAGAGCTGGGATCGTCCCTGTCGTTTTCCGAAGGTACGGCCGGTCGGAGACTTCCATAGCTTCTCTGATTGGAAGCTCCGGGACCCCCAGATCCGGGACTTCCGTTATAATAATTTAACTTTTTCTTTTTTCTTTATAGGGTGGCCTGTAATAGAAAAGGGGGGATGAGGTTCACGATCAACGGCCACTCTTACTTCAACCTCGTTCTGATAACCAACGTCGGCGGCGCCGGCGACGTCCACGCCGTGTCGGTGAAGGGGGCAAAGACCGGGTGGGAGGCGATGTCGAGAAACTGGGGGCAAAATTGGCAGAGCAACACCTACCTGAACGGGCAGAGCCTCTCGTTCAAGGTCACAGCCGGCGACGGCAGCACCGTCGTCGCCGAGAACGTTGCTCCGGCGAGCTGGTCCTTCGGACAGACCTTCGCCGGACCTCAATTCCACTGACGACTCAAACAAATCTTACATTCAATTACTACAGCAAAGGCGAATATATAAATATAAATTTTTAGGAGATTGCATGTTTATAATATTGGTGCTTTGGGGGGTCACCAATACAATTATTAATGGTTGGGGCCACAGTGATATTATTAAGAGTGTGGCTTCTTAATTAATTAATTAATTAATTGCTTGGGGTGGTTTAATTAGGGGACTAATTTTTGTCGTCCCTAGGCTAGGTAGCTATAGCTAGTGTGTTGTGTTTTGTTTGTTTGGATTTTGAATTGGTTTTTGTATGAAATGAGCTTGTCTGTCTGTGTCGTTGAGAGAATTAGCTGAGGTGGGGTTCAAGTGTTCCCACCCGCTTTCATATTTACACTAACTAATCCTATATATGATTATTCTTCTATTTCATATTATCATTATTAAATAATTTTTTATTTTTTTATTTTACTACATGTTAGAAATTAAAATAATATTTATTTTAAATATATTTTTACTAAATCTAAAATTGAATATTTTAAATGTTTCAACATTACAAAATAACATCAATAACTATAAACAATTACTTTATATTATTTCTAAAATAAAAAATATTATAATTTTCATTAAAAAATAACTCAATACTATATATTATTATTATTATTATTATTTATTTCCAACATTATTTATATATAATGTATGCAAATATATGTTTCTGAATATAAATAACTAAACAATGAAATAAAAGTTTAATAAATTTGCCTTTTAATATGTCCGTCTCTGACATTGTAATTAGTCGTTCATATAAGTTGATATACTTAGGTATATATATATTTGATAGAGTTTGAAAATAATTTTTTTTTTTTTCTTTTTGATAGAGTTTAATTTTTTTTTTATTTAAATTTGATATTAAAATAATATATTATGAAATGTATATATATATTTTTTTTAAATAAGATTTTTACAGATTTATTCAAATTCATACCAAATTATTTTGGACTGCAATAAAAATGGTGCTATTTTTTATTAAAAAATATATACTTCTATTATTTTTCTATTTTATTACTATTAAAAGACAAATTAATAATTATTTTAAAAAATTCTCATAAAGTGTATTGTGTATATGAGTAGAAGCAAGGGTGGACAACAAAATCAAATTGAACCGTTGAATCGAATCAAATTTTTAGTTAATTGAACAAATTTGGTCGAATAAAAATACTATAAATTTGATATTTGTTCGATTTGGTTCGATTCGATTTCAGATTTTGATATTCTTTTTGGTTCGATTAACCGAACTGAATATATATATGATTATATCTTAAAATTTATATTAATAATTATATTTGATTCGGTTTTGATTTGACGGTTCGAAATATTTATGAATATTTACAAATATTTTTATTGATTAGAATTTTAATTATTTTTAATTTATTTTTCTTAATTCTGGTTCGGTTTGAATTATTCGAAAATATTGAAAATATTTTTGGTTAATCGAAATTTTCAATTTGGATACGGTTTAGGATTTCAGATTTTTATTCGGTTCAGTTCGTTCAAATTATTTGTAAATATTATAAATATTTTTTGTTAACCAAAAATTCGATTAATCGAAATTTTCGGTTTGGATGCGATTTCCGATTTTCAGTATTTATTCGATTCGGTTTAATTCGAATATCATGCATATTTACAGATATCCAAAACCATACTCCTGTATATAAGCACAAATTTAAATGATAAAAGAAAATACATTTTAAGAAAAGAATGTGTAATTGTGTATTAATAAATAAATTGGACTTGTTTGTTTGGTTAGATATATATATATATAACTATATTCCTTCCGTTCGTCCTCTGAGAGTCACATTTAACTTTTGTGTAATTGTACTTAACATTAAAATATTGTTATATTTATATAATTTTTTATACAAACGTCATTATATTAGTATTATAAAACACTACTGAAAGTACTTTTGCAATTTTTTTTAAAAAAAATTATATTATATTTTTATATAATAATTAATATTTAAAAATAACACATAAAAGTAAATGAGACATTTGAGTCGGACAAAGATAATATTTACTCTTTTGCATACAGTTTAATAAATATTGTAGTATTTAATAATAGTTTGTGATAATTTTGATATATAAAAATTATTTTACCTTTATAATTTGTAAATTAATGTAAATAAAAAAAGTATTTATAATATGTAAAAAAGTTTATATATACTTAAAAAATATATATGTATATACATACATATTTTTGTGCTTAGACTATAAAAATTATACTCCCTCCGTCCCAGAACATACTGGATTGTGTTCGGCACAAAATTTAAAAAATATTAATATTATACTAATAGTGGGTAAAAAGTACGATTGAAAGACTTTTTTGTCTTTGCGAGTGTATTAGTGTAAAAAGTAGTGACAATTGTGTAATAATAATAAAAAAGTAAGAGTAATTTTACAAATGATATGATTATTTATGAAAATGAGACTATTTTTTTGGATGGATAAAAATGGTAAAAAAAAACTATTTTATTGGGACGGAAATATATTGACAAACAAATCCGATGAAACTAAAGAGCGAAGATTTGTGAATTTCGGAGGTGCATTAAAGTCGCGGTTGAAAGAAAGCGTTAGTTTGGGAAGCACGATTTTACAGCGGGGAGCGTTCGGCTCCGCATTTGTGGGAGAGAACAAAATACACGCGTCAGTCAATTTCATTTCACGTGTTCCCAGAATTAATCTTATTCTCTCCGATTAAAAAAAAAAAAAAAAAAAAATTAATCTTATTCTCACAGTCAAATCATCGAAGGATTTCAATATACTACAGTACTTTTAATTTATTATTTTATTGTACTGTTATAATTTAGAGTATTTATTTATTTATTTGGTAGTGGACCGGTGTTGCATAAATAAAATAAAATAAATAAAAGTAGGGAAAGAATTGAGAATTGTGATGGATTGATGGGTCAAACTGAAAAAACAAATACTACTGACTACTACTAGATGGCATGGCAGTCTTTTATATGTTCCCGAGACCAGACCAGACCAGACCTGACTTAGACTTGAATTGAATTGATACCCACCCACCCGTGACTCACTTTCTCACTAGCTCCCTCGCCACCTCTCATGTCTAATTCAAACCTATTTGATATTGATTTAAATAAAATTTTAAATTTTATTCCATTACTGTATTTTGTGATTGATATTTACACGTATTTTAGGTAATTAAAATTTTTATTATAAATGATAAATTTATCATTTATTTTATGTATAAAAAAAAAGAGTAAATAAAATAAGGGTGTATTTGTTTGGGGAATTCGATTAGATTTTTACTATTCATTCAATTTTTTTCTCCAAAAATATCAAATTAAACACCTATTTTTTATTTTTTATATTATATTGAAAATTAATATTACATTCAAAACATCACATCACCTATTTATAAATTCAAAAGTTTTACTATTCAAATCCCAACTCAAAATCCAAATCCCCAAACAAACACACCGTAAGAGTAAAAAAATAAATTATGTATATAAAAATAGAAAGAAAAAAATAATTGTTAGATATTCCAAATAAAAATGTAGGACGTTGATTTGTGAACAGAGGGAGTATTTGATATACTTTTTGGTTCGGGTAAAAAATACTCGCTCCCGTGCCATTTAAAAAGGGCTCTTTGAAGTTTTATAATATATTGAAAAATAATAGTACTATTTTTGTCGGGATCTAAATGTTTCATTTTTTTTATATTTTTTATTTTTAAATATTAATTATTATATCAAAATATAGTACAAATTAAGAAAAAAATACAAAAATATTTTCATTAGTGTCATATAATATTAATAGAATGACATTTGCACAAAAAATTATACAAATATAATAATATTTTTAATGTTAAGTACAATGACGCAAAATATAAATGTGACATTTAGAAGCGGGCGGAGAGAGTGATATTTTATTGATTAGTGGGAGTGTGTAAAAGGTTTTAACATTTCTGTCATTTAATTTTGTTACGGAAATTCCCAGAAAATCAAGATGAGACAACAAAGACAAAAGAACACAAGAATTTGGTAACCCAGTTCGATCACGATGATCTACGTCTGGGGGCGCTTCCAAGCCTGGAATTTTACTATAAAGTACGCAGACACCTGTTAAAGTGAGAATACATGGATATTTATAGCCTAAGCCTTTGACAATAATATCCAAATCATATCTCTAAAATCTAAAATTTAATATCCAAATCATATCCCTAGATTTTAGGATACAATCAGGCTTCATATTCTAACAATCTCCCACTTGAAGACTGATTTCATCTTCCACTCAACATACCTCATCCAATCTCCACTCCCCACCATTTGGTGTTCTGATTCGAATCATTCCTTTACCTACAATTTTCAGTGTCTCATCATCTGCAAGATAGACAACATCAAAATTACCTGTGGTATAGGATTCTATGATTCTCGAATCACTGCATGAGTGGAATGACGCTTCTGAGACCAAAATCCATGACTCCATTGGACTGCTGACGCTCAGAATCAGCGCATCGGATATCTCCTTCGTTGCGTTTGCTGAACCCTGATCCTTCTCCGGCGGCCTGCACTGTCGTTTCAAGTGCCCATTGCAGTTCCAACATACCACCTGACTTGCATCTTCTTTATCCTTATTCTTCGGCTTCAACTTTGACTTGATCTTCACACTTTCCTTTTGCCTCAAATCTAAATTCAGTCGAGACATTCTCCCAAAGGGTTAGTCGAACCTCACTTATCGTCTTCCTGTTGATCTTCTTGTATTCGGCTTCATCCATGTCTTCGAATTTCTCCTTCAATACCGCATCTAGATCTTTACCATTCATGTAATCTTCTACATGCATATTTTAGAAACCGAAGTTCATACCATCGAATACCTTGACAACATGACGATCACCCATCTTGACTCCCACAAACAAACCTAAGGTTCACTTGATATGAGAGCACATCGGATATTCAGCTGCATTTGCCGAAACCCTTATCCTTCCCTACCAACATTGCACCGCCTATCACAAAGGGACTCGCTGCCTGACCTACCAGTCGAGACCGACCCAACACCGCCAGGAGACTTTCGACACAAGGCACCTCCGCAGGTCACAAGGGATTCCCACAACGATCCAACGTCCGATTCATCTCAATCCACCCTATCAACGAACTAGGCTCTGATACCACTTGTTACGGAAATTCCCAGAAAATCAAGATGAGACAACAAAGACAAAAGACCACAAGAATTTGGTGACCCAGTTCGATCACAATGATCTACGTCTGGGGGCGCTTCCAAGCCAGGAATTTTACTATAAAGTACGCAGGCACCTGTTAAAGTGAGAATACATGGATATTTATAGCCTAAGCCTTTGACAATAATATCCAAATCATATCTCTAAAATCTAAAATATAATATCCAAAT